TCCATTTCTCTGCCACTGGGGACATGACTATGACCCCATTTGACTTCGCCATATTGACCGGCCTTGATGCGGGAGGCTGGGCGATCCCATATGACAAGGACATGGGCCAGTGGGAGGCCGCCTGGATCTACTTATTGGGAGCTCGCCCGCCAGTTGACAGATCTTCGGGCAGGGTCCGATATACTTGGTTTTCTTCCCATTTCCGGAGGGTGGAGATGGAGCCTAAGACTCCTGAGGAGGTAGCCCAGTATACCAGCGAATTTCTGATGTTCCTCTTCGGGACCACTCTGTTTGCCGATAGGGGGAACACTGTCGGGCTCTATCTGTTGAGTGCCCTAGTGGACCTATCACAGGTCCGGCGGTATGATTGGGGTGGCACTAGTCTGGCTACTCTTTATTGCTATATGAGTGCGACCTCCCGCGGACAGGGGAACATACTCGGAGGCTATTGGAGAGCCTAGGAGGTACTTTCTGCCCTCTTGATTTACATTTCTTCTTTACATTACTTGCACATTGCACACACGACGCATTTTACACTCTGTACCTTGCACTTTGCTCTTAGCATTTTGTATTTACAATTTGCACTTAGCATTCTGTATTCTGATGGCTACTGCCCTGTTTTCCACAGTTATGGATCTATGCATACTTCCCGACACTAGCTCTGGAGCTCGAGGTGGAGATGCCTCCCATGACCCCTTACTCGCTGGTATTTGAGGGCCCGTACCGGCCGAGACCTCAAGAGTCTCTCCTCTATCTACGGCAGTACTTCGATACAGTACGGCCATCAGAGGTATTGCAGAACTCTCAATTCTTCATGTTTCCAACCTTCGATTTATCTTGCGCATTTACAATTTCTGATCAGCTTATGCATTGGTTATCCTCAGATCACATGGCAGCCTTGGGCGCCTTTGGGTAGAGACCTCTGATTCCAATTTGCCGGAGCCTGGGTGCCTCTCGGTACAGGATCTTGTTAGAGGGGCCGGTTGGCATGGCCTGGTTTTTAGGGGAGCGCTTCCTGCGCCAGACATAGGGCTACCCCATTCAGGACATTCCCTCAGCATCCCCAGACGACATGCGGACCGCTGATAGGCTCCCTCCCCAGGGTGTTGTTGACGCCAGGTTAGGCACTGATGTACTTCTTCATCTGGAGCAGGGAGAGTACACGACTTATCGTCACACATACTTGATGCCTTCGTTGACGGGAGTTTATATTCCGACGAGGAGACCCGTTGGTATGCCCTCATCGAGCCGGGCTCGGGCTGCGGACGTCTCTTCCACTAGCAGGGCTGGTACATCTAGAGGTGGGGGTGGATTGGTTTCCCCGATTCCTCCGACTCATCATCATCCTGGGTGGCCAGACATGCCGACTGAGCTGACGGGATGGCGATTCGGGACTCTCTACTCGATTCCAATAGAGCCTCCCATGTTTGACCACAGATATGTCAGAGATCCTGATTCGCCGCCGGTATGCTTTACAGCTTTGATTTATCACTCAGATACTTGGACATTCGTTCATTTACTGATATTTTGCATTTGTATCTGCAGCCTCCGGTCGAGTATATGGACGAGATGCTCGGGATGATGGCCACACTCGAGGGCATGGTCTTACGGAGAGAGGCACAGTTGTCCATCATGGGTGTCCAGGTACTCTTTAATTTTCTCGCATTTATCATACTTTCGATGACATGCTGAACTTGATCATTTCACTGCATTGATAGGTTACCTGTGTAGAGCACATCTGACACACACCACATTCATATACTGTATCTGCATGCACCCTCATTTCATGTAGTTTGCTTGCATCTGTATCTGATACACACATTTGAGCTGATGTATTCAAACTGCACTTTTTATTTTCAGATGCCTCCGGTATATCAGCCACGGACCGGGCCATCCAGGCCTTCTCGACCTTCTCGAGGAGCCGGGCCATTTCGGCCTTCTCGTGGGGCCGGGAGAGGGGAGTCGTCCTGCAGACGCAGAGTACATATCGTAGAGGAGGAGCCCGGTGAGGACGAAGAGGAGGAGGAGGCTGCAGATCGTCAGTCAGAGACATCTGCTGACAGAGAGGAGGGTTCCGACCCTGGTTCCGGGAGCGGAGAGGAGGCTGAGGAGGATCCCGAGGATGACAGTTCCGACTCAGATGGTGCCGGTGGTGCAGAGCCTGTTCCGCAGAAGAGGACGAAGAGGGCCTCTTATTCCTGCTCTTGAGAGCATTGGGGCAGCTGTTTCCTACTTTATTTACCATTTTTACTAGTAGTTGTAGCACATTGTACATTATTAGGCAGTTTTATTTTCTGTAAAACTTGTACTTTTGTTGTAAAATGTTGTAACAAAGGAAGCATGATGGAATGAATTAGCTTTTTGAAAAAGTGTTGTACTTTATGTTCTCAGCATTGCATCGCATCATTTTGCAAATAATGAGATTGAACGGTAAATGTGCATTGTGTATTTGCCAAGTCAGGTAGCGAACCGACCTGACAAACTAAACAACCTAACTTACTAAGAGACAACAAAACCTTAGTAAGTTTACAACACAACAAAATTGATAAACAAAGAGTAACAACTCAAATGCACAAAACTCGGCGACTCGATAAACAAGACTCGATAAACGAAACAGCTCGACCAACAAAACAACAACTCGATAAGCAAAACAACAACTCGATAAGCAAGACTAAACACCAATTCAATAAACAAAACACATTTCAGACGATCTGGGTGATGGAACGCATCCGAAGCAAAGGGAAATGGAGGCCTTCGACACTCCCGATGCATGGACATGCTAGGAACATTCTTCTAGAGGGTAGAACAGGACCAAAGACACAAATTGCAGCATGGCCGGCCACCTTTGGGAGCTGGCCGACCAGCTTTTTGCATTTGAGGGGAGAGGGGTGGCCGGCCTACCAGAAAAGGTGGCCGGCCGGCCACTTAGCTCAACAACCACTAGTTTTTCGACACGTGTCCCCCCTCGAACAGTGCCTTATCCCCTTTAAAAGTCTTAGCTCCGTGGCTCATTCATTTCATCTCAGTTTTGCACCAAAATGGAGGCGTTTCTCGTCGAAAATCTCACAGCTTAGATTGCTACTTTAGACGGCTCAGAAAAGTTGAACTTCCGGGGCTTCGGCTTGAATGCACTATTCACGCTAAGCCGTACTCCGCTACACCTTCCCTTCCTCCATGCCGCGACGAGGTTTTGGAACCCGGTAACACACGTCTTTAGCTTTGGCGGGCAAGAGGTATGTCCGACTTTCGAAGATTTTCAAGTTTTGATGGAATCTGAACGTTATGAAGAGACCTTACCTCAGTTTCGATTTGGTCACGCCCAAGCTTTAGGGCGGATGTGTGGACTCACCACGCATGACGCTCGGTCTCTGGTCTGTAATGAGGAACTGGACATCCTCGGATTGATTTATCGCTTTTCTGACACCGGTGACCGTGGCGACCATCATTGGCAAGGTTTCCGACAACATGTCCTTTGCTTGTGTATGCTATCTCACTTTCTGCTTGCGTCGGGCTTTGGTGGATCTAGCATTCGCCTGATTGAAGTTGCTCATGGCTTGAAGGATGGAAAGAGTTGTATTGCGATGACACTAGCTGAGACGCTGATGGGCTTGGATGCTTTCCATCGCCGGGAGACGACCAGATTTGTGGGGAGTCCACTACTGCTGCAGGTAATGTTTCCCACCCAATCTCACATATGTATTGCTCACATCACTCGGCCCTCAGGCTCGGTTTTTCTCACAAAACCCTTGTCTTACTTTTCTCTCATCGTACATCTCTCTATTCTTCATTCTCTCATTTTTCATCCCTCCCCAGGTATGATTGATGGATAAATTGCAGGTTGTAGACTCTTGCCCAGCCTACTCAGCTCGCGGCTACTTCTTTTGACAACGCCTAGTCGATGCCCTTGATGAGGGATGGTGGTTCGACTGGATGTGCAATTTGTCTGCAGATCGCATCGCTTGGCGCTGCCCTTGGCTCAATCTCCCGGCAATGAGCTATAGCATGTCTCGGCAAACTGGGATCTAATTGATTGGTCTGACTCACTGTGTATTCTATTTTCCGTTCCGGTTATAGCGCCAGTTCGGTCATGATCAGAGTTGTCCACCAGAGGGGATAGAGTATCTGGCTTCATTCCCGGTTCGAGGTGCACAGCTTGCCCGATATGCCACGGCATAGAGGACGAGAGAACTTCTGGCCCCCGCTCCCACTTTCAGTTATACTTTGTCTGACGAGTGCTTGGATTGGCTCAATGAAGAGGCACAGATTGGGCCCAGCTCGGTGTCAGAAGCTTCGACCAGCTCTGGGAGGGGGCGCAGGGACACCTGACTTGACTATGCCCGGATTTATTGCTTTATTAGTACTTCCAAGTTTTCTTTATGAATGTAATAAAAAGCAACTTCAATCGTATGCAAGAGTAGGAGAACTCTGTTTTGAAATCAATGAAATTGAAGGTTGTGGTACTGAAAATTTTTCGCTTTAGTCTAAAAATGGTCTTAGTTGTAGAAAGATTAATTTGAACAAAGTCAACTTTTATTAAAACTTTTCAAAACCATTTTCGATATGGATCAGAACTGGACACGCCTGAGATCTGTCACTGAGATGCACAACCCCAGATCCCTGCAACTGGAAAGTTGCCCCTAGTCTGAAAAGCACTGCGCCGGAGATTCCGATGGATGCTGGTAGACAAAGATGACTGAGATGATCAAATGGACAAAGTTGATCGGGGAAAAGTTTATGGCTGAACTTCTGGATGAAGTTGCCTACGTATCCCGATGATGGGAATCAAGCCTTACGTAGTTCAGGCTTAGGTTCACTCGAGTATTTTCACTCTCCTTTTACGCTCTAACTTTTGCCAAGGCCGCCCTTTGCGGGTTTTCAACCTTGCGAGCTCAGTTTTTATATTTTCCATTTTTTTTTTGTGCTCTAACTTTTGCCTAGGTCGCCCTTTCGGGTTTTTGGCCTAGCGAGCCTCTCAGGGGTAATATTTCTTCAACTTGTCCATGTTGATCGGTTGGGAAAATTCCAGGCCATCTAGGTCCATCAGAACCACAGCTCCACCTGACCAGATAGCTTTAATGATGTAGGGACCAGTCCAATTGGGTAAGCATGTTGTTGATAGGTCATGAATAG